GGGGAGGAGATATGCCGGTTGACGCTATGTCTAAGACCACTAGGAATTAATTCGTGCGCAAGTCATGGTCTCTGCGCCCACTCGCCGGCTGTGGGGGACGCACGCTGGATAGCGTCGGAAACGACATTCGATCTGTCATATGTATGTAGAACGCATGCTCACTGGGGTGCCCCTAAGCCCGACCTAATTCCCGAGGCACGTTAATCGTACCGGCAATTCCTGCAGGACAAGATCACCCTCGGTTTATTTAATAAAGTTCATTTGAGCCAAAAAATTGCCTGTACTGACAAAAAGTAAGGTTTTGCTCACCTCTCCGTACGAAGACTTGAAAGCTTTGGCGATATCCTGTCGCTGGCTGACGCTGCGGTGTGCCAGAATGTCAATGATCGCCTGCTCGTCCGTGCCTATTTAGAAGAGACGAAGGTTTCTCACAAAAATTGCTACCAAACTGTTTGTTCGTAATGTCAATTTATTTGGACAAAAATAGAGCGGGAAAAGTTGGCATATAAACGGTGCTGGCTGTTGACACGCAGATCACCAATTTTCAAGTAGGTTCAATTAAATCTGCAACTAACGATTCCCCTCCTGCCTGAACATCAACTAAATAGGAAGGACGAATGTTGAACAATAATGATAGTTTCGGAAGTATCAGCAGTCGTCAGACACCCATGAACCCAGAGATTCAATGCTATAGGGAAAAGGCGTGCTCCTTTTTACAAACATGTCCACTGACTGCAAGCTCCATGTTGACCAGTAATGCTTAAGTCTTCATGCAGACTAGCCATGTATAATTTTACATACAAATTGAAGAAATGTCACTTACCCAGGCCTTTCATGGCCGCCCGCAGGGCTTCAGCGTCTTTGGAGGCATTGAAGTTGGTCGCCGGTTTCACAGTTGCCATTTATCTGCAAAAAGTGGAAACCATATTGCTGTTAGGGCAAAATTTAGGTGGGCGAACCGGTGAACGAGGCAATTATTTTAAAGGCGTAACGTGGAGGCTTCATCGGACAATTTAGAGTTGCGGCAACAGGCCGCGGGAAACATTTAAACGCTGGGGTTCCCCTCCGCGTCTTAAGAATTTCCAATGAATTTGCTAGAATTGTAAAGAACGACGTTTTCCTTGGGTGTACAATCAAAAACCTGCATCAACCTGTTTTAAGCCTTAAAACTTAGCTCTGTCAGCAAGTTTAGGTCGCGAAATACACGTAAACAAACCGGTGACTCCTGTTAAAAAAACATCCATTTTGAACAACTCTTACTCTGAGCGTCTACAAAAAGCGTACTCTGTAAGAGCGTTTGCTTACGTAGTGCACATTTTTTCCCATTTGCAATGCCCTTATAAATTCAGACATATCTTGTAGAAAACATGCATTACATTATTTTTGCTAGAACTCTTTTAGTATCAAATTACGTCTTCTTGAAATTTTAAATGTAAAGCAAAGGTAACTTTCGCTTTTTAGAAAAAGTTTTTAAAATGCCGAATAGTTTTGAACTCTATCAGCCGTTACAGCCAAATTCAAGGTTTTCAAACTGCATCCTGTGTACATTTTTTATGAAGAGGATACATTTTTTAAAATTATACGGAAGAGACCCAATATTCCTCATATAATTTTCCAGTGGGTGTGAATCACGTTGTAGACTTTATAAGTATCATTAATGAATTTATGGACACGATGTATTATGATTGAACATTTCACGGTTTTAAAAATTCTCATACTGAGAAACTTTTTAAAAACTGAAAGATAACCTTTCTTAATGTATAAATTTGAAGAAGGAATTTGGCTCCAAAAGAGCACGGAAGAAACAGTTTTGTACATGTTTTATATAAATTATATGTAAAGTTTTAAGGGCCATTTGTTACAGACTACGCTTTTTACAGGCGTTTAGAGAGAACATCGTTCAAAAGCTTGCCTCCTGACGTCACTGATATATATTGACATTAAGTTGTCAAATAATCAGTATTACAAACACTTCAGAAGAAGAAGATGCGATCACTGGAACAAGGACTTTATTTTCCTGACGTTTACCCCTCGGGAATCCTTAATCATAGGTAATCGAAGAACAGTCTGAAACATGCGCAAAAAGATGCGATCACTGGAACAAGGACTTTATTTTCCTGACGTTTCGGATTCCGAAATGTCCAATGTCCAATCAAGGCATGTGTTTCGGTTTTTGGCATACGGCATTTCATTATCAACAATACCAGCCCCAAGCGATCTTGTGAAAAATTTAACTAGCTTGGCACTACCTGACAAAAACATACTCTAGACGACAGCGTCTACGTTATTTTGCCCCCGTAGGTCATTACCGCTTAAAAAGACTTTCTGCTTGCCACCAAACCAGTTGAACAACAATTCTCTTAGAGGGTAAATAGACCATAAGCTTGATAGCGGGGTTTGGGTTGGACATAATATAAAGCCTATGCACGAGGAGCCCGATTCGAATCATAAGAACTTATTGTCGCCGCAGGTTTAACGCAGGTTTCCCCTATTAGGGACAAATGAAATTATAAAATCACGACTTTTAAAATCAAAAACAATATTATAGACTCATCAAAATCCAAGCATTAAACCAGGAGTCTAACAGCTGAGCTCAGGGCACGGCGGCAAGTGCATCTCGATGCTCGAGGTCCGATGCTGGTAGCTAACTGCTCCTTCTGCTCTGTTGCAATGAAAATTCTGCAATTAATCGTCTTTGCTGTTCAAAGCTACATGCTGTTATTTGAAACTGTAAGGTATGAGGCCATTTATAACGTGCATAGTAGATTTCTATTTACATAAACCTCAACTAGTAGGGTGAAGTTTTAATAAGGTAAAAAAATGGCCACTCGTCAGAACACCGACTTACATGTCCGTTAGCGAAGGAAAGGAAGCTGCAAAGCGCTGGGGGGTGAAGGCTATTTATTCTACGCGCTCTGAATGCCAATGAAAGCAGGCGGGTTCATTGATTGGCCAATAGCCTGCAGAAGAGGTCATCAGGCGGGAGGTCGCTATGGTGACGTGGCCGCGCCTGGTAGCGCTGGCAAAGCAGAGAATACCCGGACCAGTTGATAAAACTACTGTAATTTTCCAGAAGAGTCATAAATTCCTGTGATAGAATCAAAGCTACAGCAATTCACAGAATGTAAATTAGTGGCTAACCCGATGCAAACTAGGATGTGAGTTCTAGGAAGCGGTCGAGAAGAGGGCGCTATTGACAAGCCCTCCATATTACGGACTAGCAAAGTGGCTGTTTTTAGTATTTCCGAGACTCATAAACAAGGCGGTCCTGTGACGGTGGGAATCGCATGTCTTAGGAAACTATAGGCCTAACTTCTGAGCTAGGTACGTGCTAATACCTGTGCCGTTTTCCTCGATGAACAATTTAAGAGGAAGGAAGAAAAGAACAAAATGGCCTTCCTTTATATCTTCGTCTGCGGCAAATATTGTGGTGGCCTAAACAACCACAGTGTTGGGGAAGAAGATACATACGATGCGAGTATTGAGCTTCAATATAAACCATGCTATCCACCACAAACGCAGTTGCGAAACGACGGTAGGTCGGTGTATTCACACGCATTGCAGTAAACAGGAAGACCAGATTGCCTAGCACCAATATCTTCGAGAGGTGCTTAGAAAAAATGGCTGCGCCTGCGCAGCTTCTTCAACCGGTGCACACACACAAACTAGACTAGCGACAAAATCGTACCGATCCCGCATTTTTGTGAACGCTTCTATACGTCAAGAACGTCTCGGAGGACGTCAGTTGCCTTCTCATTCCAATTAGAGTTCGGGTTACACATGGGCTAGAGACAAGCATCAGACGCCAGGTCATGAGTCTGGTAGAGATTGTCTCGAGTCGTTTACCCCATCTGCTGGAGGTGCGGACAAAGCAACAACGTCGAAAACATCGGGAGATTGCTCCGGACGCGAACGGATGAGTACGCAGCAATTATTGAGTGGAATGACACTAACTCTCAGGTTGCGGCTCATTTGGCAGTATCCGATCAGACCTTCGTGTTCGATGAGGCCAAAATCCTTGCGAAAGGTGACAGTCGCGTGAGTCACGGACTGCTTGAGTCGCAGTTTTCGGGCCCACAGTCTCGGGCAGACAATCAACAATTCCAGTGACAACCAGCTAAACCGGTGAGTCATGATTGCACCACTATCCAACACAACCGATGCAGTGGCGGCCATTTACAACTGGAATGCCGACTAACAAGCACGAGCATCAGTGTTGATTGTGATTATAAAAGGCGTATGGTCGCATAGCAAATACGTTC